GAGTTTCAAGCGGCCGTTTGGCGCATTGAAGAACGTGTCTTCCTGAACAATTATCGTGCCCTCGTCGTTCGCCAAGGCTCTGGTCGTTTTCTTCAGACTTTCTAGATCAGACACCCGAGCTTTGATCTCAACGTTCCGCGGCATCTTGGTCAAGTTGGACGATTTGTGGACAAAGGGTTGACTGAGGGAAAAAAAAAGAAGAAAAGCAGTTGCTGAGTTGGTATGATCTCTGCAACCAGTCTGCAGTTGCTGTTATGTCCTATAGAAGAGTGTGTTGTCAATGTTAGGTCTCGGAGGGAGAAGGGTAGCTCTGGTGTCATTTAGGGCTGTGCAGTGAAACAGGTGATGATCCACAGTTTTATATGTATCGAGTCACACAAGGGACACATTGGGGGAAGTTCTGGATTTATTCTGTTCAAGTGGAAGTTGAGCTGTATATTATGTTCTGTTCGTAGGCGGAAGATCGTGGTCTGTTTCTTTCTCCGTAGGTGGTTTATATTGATTGTCATTTCGTTTTGTTGTGGTCATATGTTTGAAAACTGCTCTGCCTGTCTTTCTCACGGCCCATCTGTTCATCCAATCTTGTTTGTTGTTGCTTTTAATGATTTGTTTTGCAGTGTTGCGTGAAGTTGTAATGTTGGGTTGTTCCTGTCTAGATCCCCGTTCGGCAAGTGTGTCTGCTCTGTCATTTTCAGGTATGTTTGAGAGTCCAGGGACCCACTGCATCACCAGGTTGAAGTTGACGCCACAGAATGATATCAGGTGATGGGAGCCAAACAGTGTATATGTGTCAAATCTTGGTTCAGAAGATGGTCATTTTCTATTGCATGCAAGACTGACAATGAGTCGGTGATTTCAAGGAGCAGATTCGAGAATGTCTCAAAAACATGAGTTCCGGTACCAGTATTGTTAGCCTTCTCTCACTCCCCCTCTTAAAGGATCGCGTAGACGTCTGTTGAGGACAGGTTGTTTATCAAGATGGTTACTTTCTCATAATTTGCAAAATCCTGCCATTAAGTTTCGGTCCTGGTCTGGTAGCTACTTATAAAAGAATTTGCCTAGTCTTCCCCTGGCATCTTTGATCCTCGAAATTGTAAAATTGCCTTTGCCAAGAATTCTCTTGACGAATAGGTGCAGGTCTAGGGTGTCATATGGAAAACTCCTTTCTGAAATGAAAAGCTGGTCATGTCCTTTTGGTGTGAAAGAACAATCTGGCCTCCAGGAGATGGTCGACTTTCAGCCTCGGGGTTCAGTTCCAAAAATCATCTTTGAAACACGTCGTATTCTTATTGTGTGATTCTGTACTGTGCACTCACACTCTTCTGAGAACTCCCGGTAGCATGTTCGTCGTCCTGTGCTTTTTGGAGTACATCATCAGAAGTTTTGTCATACACTCGCGCCCCATGTCTCGGCTTGTGTAGCTTCGTAGCATGTTGTCTTTACAACGTGTATAAAAATCGATCTGGAAAAAAGACAACAGAAAAAAAAACAACGTAAAAATGATTACTGATACTGTAGGGTAAAAAACAATATTTTAAACAATATTCATTGCAATATGTCAGGTCACTGGTTTCATTTTTTTTTTAAATTTGACAATAAGATCAAGCGTTCCTGATGGTTGAACAAGTACCGGTATAGTAACCAAAAAGGCCTATATGACAAATCTGTGTTTTATAATACACAAATTAATTACACATACATACTGCCCGTTTTCGATCATGACAGGTAAACGTGGGTGGTTGGCGGGTGCTCTGGTGTGGTTTGCTTCTTCTTTCCTATCAAACATCTATCGTCCTTATTTCCCCTTCTTCTTTTTTATGTTTGTTACTCTCTTGTAACACCTCTAATCTTCTGGCGCTCATATGACCTTATGCAGTTGCGAGTGCCGTAAAATCTCTACTACAACTAACTGACAAGTAAACCCACATGTTACGACCCTGATATTTTGAAAGGGAAAGATGTATCACTACAAAATTACAGGGCGCAGGGGAGCGAGTGAGTAAAAGAGAAAGAGAGAGGGGTGGCGGGGTGCATGGGGTTGGGAGGTGAAAAGAAAAATGGACAGAAAAGGTATTGTGTGTGAATTGTTCTTTAAAGTATATGAAACATCACAAAATATCATTTAATGAACAAAGAAACAGTCACCAGCTCAGGTTACTTTAGGCTTAGTCATCGCGACCGTGTCAATGGACACCAGGGTGACTAGGGCACCCCCTGTCAAAACTTTAGGCCTTCGTCAATTTCTAGGCAAATGGAGCTTTTGGTATCATCTTGAAGCTTTTTCATTTGTCTTGCTTTCAATGAAAAAAATACCCATCTATCTTGAATAGACGTGGAGAAGTTTGCTATTGAATGAGGTGGGTGTTGTCTGGTTTCAGAAATAAAATTAGTGAGAAAATGGCGGAAAATGTTTGGTGATTTCATTAAGCTTGAGAGTCTTTAGAAACGGAAAATTTACCCCCCCCCCCTATAATCAACGTTTTCAGTAAAATCCAAGCAGAGATGTGTCTTATTATTGATATAAACGGTGTTGAGTCAAAAAACAAAAATTCCATAAAAATTGCCAAACGGGCTGAACAATGTCAGTATCTTTGACGAGAGCCTGATTTCACCACGATGCCTCACATATATTTTCTCTCAAATACACCATCTATGGCTCATCTGACTGTCTAAGAGCTTAATGTAAAGCCCACATTAAAACATTTTAAGTGTAATATATTATTAGGAGATACTCACCAAAGCTTGAAGGAATCTTGCAGAGGTTGATTTCAAATGCAGGCGATAGCCATCTTCAAACAAGCCTCAGGTCCTCAAAAAACAGTTCTGATAAGATATTTTCATGTAAATAAACCACAAATTAATTACATTTTTAGATAATGCGTTTCAAAATCACTAAAACACTTTTGATATCGAAAAAACATCTCAAAATTGGTCGCTTTCAAGGACAAGCGGGCTAACCCAGATTTCGGGGTTTCCAGAAATCTTGACTTACACCAAAAGTGGGCATTGCCCTACCTATAGGAGAAGTTTGGTTTCACTAGTGTGTATATTTGTTTAGATATAAAACTTTCTTTGTCTTTTAAAGGCACTGAACAAGGGGCAAAAACTTTACCTTCGATTTTCGATTTTCTCAAAACAGCATTTTTCGGGATAACCCCTTGTCCTTAAAAGCGACCAATTATCAGAACATTAAATTTTTTCCCGGTTCCCTGCCTTAGTCACCTTGGGGTACCCAAGTCACATCAGTTAGTTTAGTTTAGTAAAGAGTTTTACGGCACTTGCAACACAATAAGGTCATATAAGTGCCGAAGATTAGAAGTGTTACAAGAGAGTAACAACAAACGTAAAAAAAGAAGGAGGAGAGATAAGGACGATCGATGTTTAAGAGGAAAGAAGGAGCAAACCACACCAGAGCACCCGCCAACCACCCACCAAGTCACATCAGTTTACGGTAACTTTAATAGATCATACCGACTGTAGCGAGGTCAACAGTTCGTGGCGCAACTTATTGTCAAATATTATCCTTCACTATCGAACACAGATTCTCCAACTTTTGCAACATGACTTATATTAATTTGTCTCAACAGGTTAATATTATTTTCAAACTCCTGCACACTGTATTATTCTCGAAAATCCCTTTATAAATGCTAATAAAAAATCCCAGTGGATGGTTTCTACAGATTAACAGATTTTTAAAAGTTTACACCTCGAGCAATATCGCTTTTAAAAGCAAGTCTGTCATTTTTAAAATAATCGCAACGATATGCGATAGGGTATTTATTAAGGAATTTCCTAGAATACAGATAGCAGGTGTTTACAAAAAAATGTTGATTTGTTAAGACAAATCGATACAAGTCACTGTGCAAAAACTGGAGAGTTTATGTTTGACAGTTAAAAGGAGGTATAATTTGACAATAAGTAGCGCCACACGAATTTTTGACCGCACTACTAGATCTATCTATCAGTAGAGAATCTTTGACTAGGGTTATGATCTACATCTGCGCGCCCGTGGTGCGCCCGATTGGCAGCAAAGTTTTTATTGTCCCTAAATAGAAAGTAAAAAGAGGCGGCCATAACAGTACGAATTACAAAGTTTTATCAGACATGTCTGGCCGTTTTGAGTTACTAAGACCATGAGGTCAGAAACTTTATTGTATTATATATTATATATATTTATATATATTATTTATATATCTGCTCCATCAAAATCGTAAGATAATCCGGAGTCGTTATCAAAATCTGCAAAGAATTTCATTTGAAAAGGCTCGGCTTGATATGAAACTCGATTTTTTAAAAGTCAAATTTCTTAAAGTAGGTAGGCCTGCTGAGCAGATAGAACTTTGTAATTCTAGGGTAGTGCAGTGTTGTATATTATAATTACAATAAATGTATTAAATTCAAGTATATCATTATGGCTAGCGAGTATTGGCCCCACTCAAGACCGACAACTTGGAACTTCTACAGTCTTGAGTAGGTCAAGGTCTACAGACATGTCGTGTAATAGCGTCCCGATCTAATTTATAAAGCAGCGTTCAGCATCGGTGCACGCGGTATTTATATGTTATCACAAAGGATCAAAATGTAAGGCTGTGTTTGCTAGAGCTTGGATCTTTGACAGAATGAGGTCGTGGGTGACGCCAGAGCGAGCCACAGGAACAACAATTTGGTTTAACTCAATGAAGACGCACATTCCGGTCATTCGACAAATTATTTGTGAAGATGTGCTGTTTTGGGGCGTAACTTTATCATTCAAACACATTTTTTTGTGCTTTGTTTTCTTTATTTGAAACTTTAAAAAGGCATGTAACAATAGGCATGTCATGAAATATGCAAAACTCGTGTTTCTGATTTGTGCACGATGGTTCGAAATGTAGCCTACCGTATCGGGTACCGAGATATTGTCTTCGCTCTGCTGCTAATCGGACGTAAGTTCCCGCTACGTCTTCAAAGAGTTAAAAGAATGCGAGGTCTTATTCTTAACATGTGCACCCCCCAACCCC